AGAGAGAGAGAGAGAGAGAGAGAGAGAGAGAGAGAGAGAGAGAGAGAGAGAGAGATGCACGAAGCAGGCATGAATATTCCCGCTTCTGGCGGGAAATTAATTCTCAACGAGCGGCTCGCAGGCAAGTTAGCAACCACTGACACACAGGGAGGGAGGGAGGGAGAAGATATATATAAATATATGTATATATATATATATATGTATATATATATATATATATAGAGAGAGAGAGAGAGAGAGAGAGAGAGAGAGAGAGAGAGAGAGATGCACGAAGCAGGCATGAATATTCCCGCTTCTGGCGGAAAATTAGTTCTCATGGAAGGAGCGGCTCACGGGCAACCACAGACACACAGGAGAGAGAGAGAGAGAGAGAGAGAGAGAGAGAGAGAGAGAGAGAGAGAGAGAAGAGCCACTCACGGCCATACCACAACCCCAGCAGGGACGTCGGGGGTGTGTCCTCTGAGTGAAAAAGGGCTCCTGTCACCTGGCCACCCATCGCACCATGGATTGGGTTATCCAGTGCTGCGTTCGAGCCAGGCACCGGTTCCCTCAAAAGACTGGGCTGTCTGGTACATCCCCGCATGTATCCCAAAAGATAAGGAACGGCCCGGACCCAATGTCCCCACTCAAATGGACCCAGCCGGTACCACTCCAGAAAATGACAAAAATGCCGAATGGGAACATGGCCCATGGGTCAAGTGCGGCCTGCTGTTTTTCTTGCTTTTAATAACTACAAGGTGACGTACCTGCCGACCTACTGATGTTTTTGCCCATTCAGAACTATACCTGTGACTTCAACGTACTTGCCCCTTTATTTTTTCAAACAAACACAACTGAAGTCATTAGGAATGGTGATAAGAGTAGAGGGGTGGGTGAAGCTGGTGCGGCAGCCTCAATTCGAGTCAACTGCAACTTGGTGTGTGATGATGTGTGTGGGTGTAAGAGAGAGGAGGGCGGGGGGGGAGAGAGAGAGAGAGAGAGAGAGAGAGAGAGAGAGAGAGAGAGAGAGAGAGAGAGAGAAAGAAGAAGAAGAAGAAGAAGAAGAAGAAGAAGATGGCTTCTATGTATCTGCTCACGTTTAGGGGGTGCTCTTCTGAGCCGAAGATCGTAGTACTTTGTGTGGTTTTGTAAAAAGAAAGCATGTCTTTTTTATTTTCCACTTTTTTTTCCCCATTTTTTATTTCACTTAGAACTCCACTCACGAGCAGCGTTGTACAACATGTGTGACTCCGTTTTCGCATTAAAATAATGGTTTTCCGGATTTTTGCAGATTTTAAAACCTTTTTTTTCTGTGAATTAAAGAAAGCAAAAGCATTTTCTGGCCTCTCCTGTCAGCCTATGAGCACAGCCTATTCGTCGCCTGTTTTGGAGGATGGGTTCTTCAGTCAGCCAATGGGCTGTGAAGGTCATTTTTGCCCGATCTCATGGAGGCTGAAAGCAACGAGGAAGCAACAAGGAAACGTTGCAAAATCACCCCCTACCTGAAAAATGGACAAAAATGCAACGGATGAACATTGGAATTCGAATTGAAAAATCAAAAGCAGTAAGCCTTTCTAGAATGTGGATTGGTTGACACCCCGTCCACGAAACTCCACGGTTTCACGAACAGGCGGGCTGTGGATATAAATCTCCATCCACAGATTTTGTGTGTCACGAAAGGCCGCACGTGATTGAAAACGCCAGCAAATAGTTGTAAAACGTCTCTAGTGGGTCCCGAACCCAGGACGCTCGTGGGGGCCGTATGAGCAGCCCTTTTTTTTTTTTTTTTTTTTTTTTTTTTTTTTTTTTGCAGAAAAAACCAAGCTTCAACTTACTAGAGGAGAAGCTTCCCCTTTGCCACCACGGCCCGTCCATGTGGTTATGGCATCTGTGCCTCCATCAGAGCCACAGTGCTTTCATTGCCTTTTCGAACTTGGTGGTTGTTTGTTTCGTCGGCACTTCACGGTGTTTTTTTTTTTTTTGCCTATCAGAAACTCGTTTGTGCTGCGACCCTCGTTGCCCCATGACTGAACGAGTGAATTTGCAGGACAGTGGTGGATAAACCATCAGGGAGTAAGACCTCCATAATATCCTAACATCAGCTGGTTGACAGTAGCAACCCCAATTAGGGTGTTGGGGATCTCAATCTCAGCAAAAAGTAAACCAAAAGGGAACAATGAATGGATATCTAAACCAGATTTAGCCAAATTGGAACTGTGGAAGGATAAACGAATTTCTATTATAGGACGTTCGCTGGTTATAAACAATGTTATTCTAGCCTCACTCTGGTACAAGTCTGCAATATGGGCATTGGACAAATCGGCACTTAAACCTCTACAAAGACAAATAACAGCCTACCTATGGAGAGCAAATCATGTTTTCAAAAACGTTATAAGTAGAGTGGCCTGGCAGGGACTCAGGGAGTAGTTCAGCCTAAAGCAAATGGAGGGTTAGGAATCTTAGATCCTTTGTAGCAGACCCACCAGGTGTGGTGCTCCGCTAGTGACAGAGATGGAGATGGAGGAAGAAGGAGGGAGCAAGGTGCACAGCGCAGCTCCCCACGAAGACTCCAACGCACGTACTCCGAAATGTGCCACTGAAGAATGAGGCTGAAAATAGACAACTGCTGGGGTATACCCCAGCGGACTGACGGGACTGGACTGGACTGGCTGGTACCGACAGGTACCGGCCTGGACTGGGCTGGACTGGACTGCCCCCGAATAGAACACAGGCCTGTGAGAACAGGCCAAGGGGCTGGTCTCACAGGCCAACCAACCAGAGGTCCACTACACGATCCTCAGCCTGTGATGGATCGCCTGGATACAAACACGCTTCCGTCAGGAAGCGGAACTCTACCAAAGAAAAAGAAAAACCTGAGTAGTCTAGGATGCGGAGCAAGCTCCATGCTGAGTCCATGCGATGTAACCTAGGCTAGAAAATGTCACAAAACAGCAATGTCACAGCTAACAGCCTAAATAAAAGCAGAAGCAACTAACTAGCATACATGTCCTAGGAACGCAAAAGCAACTAACTAGCATACATGTCCTAGGAAAGCAGGAAGTAGTGACAACTGGATCCTAGAATATTGGAGGCACTAGCCTCAGTCTGGTAACAGCTGACTAGTGTATAAGTCCTAAGAACACCAAAAGCAGAACAACTAAATCCTAGAAATGTCAGAGGCAGTAGCCTCAGTCTGAGAGCAACAAGCAACAACAAGTCAACCATATGTCCCAGGAGGGGTGTGTCGCAAACCAAAAGGTGGGATGGTCTCTGAGGGTGGCGAATGCAGCCTAGGGGTCGAAAACTCCTAAGGGCATCCACACATAGATAACAGGGAGACACATGTCATCAGGATCAATGAGGGTAGGGAACTGGGAGCGAACAGAACCAATGACCCTAACAGATAGACCATCTGGGCGGGTAAAGTTCGGCTAAGGGGTGACCGTTATGGAGGGTTGACCATGCAAGGGAACAAGGGAGCCTGGTATACTGGGCGCACCTAGATGAAGCATGCTGGGCTGCCTAACTAGGGCGTGAGGGTCGGCAGAGGGTAGGGGTGATGGGTAAGGGAATCATGCAGATGACTCCTAAGGCGGGGAAGTCGGAGCTAGATCCGTAAGATGGGAAGCCAGGGCAACGCTACGGTCCCGATGCCTATGCGCATACCAAGGGAGAGCCCAACTCATAGGAACCCGACTAAAGGGAGACCATCATGCGACACAAGCAGGGTACTATACAGGGTAAAGTGGTAAGAGAGTGGCGACGTCTGAAGGAGGCAKAGCTGATCGTGACGAAGTCCATGAAGCTGCCGATGACGTCCACGATGAGAAGTCCGGAATGCCGTCGAGGAAGAGCCGCAACGTCGACAAGCTGAAGTAGCAAAACTGGAGTGGATGAAGTACAGAGAAGTCAAAGACGTGGGAAGGTAAGTCAAAGTCAATCGTCGTATGGAGTAGGACAACGACGAGTGCGCTGTGGACGCTCAAAAGCATCCGGCTGCTGCTGAAGGTCTGCCTCAGATGGAGCAGGCTCGACTTCAGCGGTCTCCTCAGCCGGAGGAGAAGGAGGAGGGTCAGTGGGCTGAGGAGGAGCAGTGAACCCAGCACGACGAGCACGGTCACAGGCACGCACCAACATKCGAGCCTGCTGCAAGTGCTCGAGGGGCTCCCAGGTAGCCTCCTCATTAGGGTAACCCTTCCAACGTACRAGATACTCGACGTGGGGAGGGTTGTCGTCGATGACTCGGCGACCAATGATGTCTGAAACGAGAAACTCCTCGTGACCGTCCATCATGATGGGTGGAGGGCGCTCGTATGGTCGTCCGGCGAAACGCTCAGACGGTCTGCGGTAAGGACGCAGTAACGAGACGTGGTAGACATCGTGCACACGAGCCTGGCGTAGGTAGTCGGGCAGCTTCACGCGGAAGCTGACCGGGCTAGAAGCCGTATCAGAACCGATAGCCTGGAGGATGCGGCATGGACCAAAGAAGCGACGCCGAAACTTGCGAAGTGTATCCGCTTCGAGCTGTAAGTGGCGGGCGTCGATAAGCACATCATCACCGACTTTGAATGGATGATCCATCCTCGATCGGTTCGCATGTGCTGCCATGCGAGTCTGGGAAGCGACTATGTGCTCATGTGCGGTCTTCATGATCGAAGTCATGTGTGGAACCCAATCATCCAGCGCGGGACAACTCGTGTCGGGGTGCATTTGTGACGGTCGAAGGAAGTCCGCGAGAACACGAGGGTGATAGCCGAGGTCGCAATAGTAAGGCGACATCCCCGTGGCTGGTGAGACGGCGTGGTTGTAGGCTATCTCTGCGTGGGCAAGATGGAGGTCCCACTGCTGGTCGTCACGAACAATCTTTCGGAGAATATCTCCGAGAGTCATGTTCGTGATCTCGGTTTGACCATCAGTCTGAGGATGGTAAGACGAGGAGAAGCGGATCTGAGTGCTGTATACCTCGTGGAGCCGTCGCCAGAATCGGTTGGTAAAGCGCGGATCACGGTCAGATATGATGCTGAGATGTAAGCCGTGGTCGCGCACGACTCGGTCAAACACGATGTCGGCGACCTCACGTGCACTGATAGCATAGCGGCACGGGACAAAGCGTGCACGCTTCATGAAGCGGTTGACGACGACCAGGATAGCATCATGACCGCGGGGGGTCGGAGGTCGAAGAGGACTGATAAAGTCCATCGAGATGGACTGCCAACGACCCTCAGGGATAGGAAGAGGCTGGAGCAAACCATAAGGTAGGTGGTTCGCACTGTTCACCTCCTGACAGGTGGGACACTCTGCGACGTAGTCATTCACAAAGTCCTTGCGCTTCGGCCAGACGTATAGGCGGCTCACACGAGGCAACGTCTTGTGGAAGCCCATATCACCGGCTGTTGCCTGGTCATGGAACTCTGCTACTGCTCGGACACGTAGCTGTCCAGTGGAGGGAACGCAAATACGAGGCTTTCTGGTGCCCTGTGAACCGTGCCAGTACACAAGACCATTGTCCCCGAGAGAGTAGTTCGGGACGGTCTTGCCACTCCGAAGGGTCGCGTGGATGTCGCGATAGTCGCGACAGTGACGGTACTGAGTGCGAAACTCGTCGATCACCGAGTGGTGGACGGTGGTGACCAAGATGGAAGAGAGCTGGATGTCGCCCTAAGAACCGGAATCCCACAACGCGGAGTACACCCTCGTGGAGGTTCCGAGTCGTACTTGGATGATCGGGAGGGTGCGATCAGGGTCAGAGAGGATGGCGAGAAGGCGCCGCAGTGCAGCGACATGGAGGGTGAGTCGCTCCTGACGAGCCTGGAGCATGCTCAAGTCCAGAAGAGAGGATACAACGTCCTCGCGAGTAGCGAGCTTCTCGCTGCAATGGGCTGAGCAAATGGCTCGATGCGTCGGTAGTCGCGGCGGGGAAGGAGGGGAGATGGTGGTCTGCGGAGGCGCAGACGGTACAGCGACAAAGGGCGGAGTACACTCTGTCGAGTCCTGCGATACCTCAACCCCAATAGCGAGAGGGGCGAACCACGACGGAGATGTCGGGAAGCCCACTACTGAGGAGGGCGCAGGTGTACACTGCACCGTGGCTAGGAGGCGTCGCGGGGACGTGAGGCGCCGGGGGGGGACTGAGCACGACGCYGACGAGAAAGGYCAGCGTAGTGGCGGTCGAGGGCGGTAGTGTAAGGGCACCGCGAGGAGGTATGACCATCCAAGCGGCAGCGCAAACACCCACGTCGGCCCGGAATGGCCACGTGCTCCTTAGGGGAAAGGACACCACGAGCAGGGACGAAGCCCTGAGGGAGGTCCTCCTGAGGGACCTTGGGGGGCGACGTGCCAGCGTGACTGGGGCGGCTGCGTGCCCGAGAGAGGGCGGAGAGCGCTAGCTGAAGGTGCTCAGCTGCAGGGAGGGTAGAGTCCTCCAAGTGATAGTGGACGGCCTCGCAGAGATCGAGGTCGTCGCTGTGGTCGCCCTCAGGTCATAGTGGGGCAACAGCGTCCTGCTCACCATACTCCAGTGCGCTGAAGCGGTGCGAGAAGTGGCGGCCGTGCTGCGTGGAACGGCGGGGGTGACCGCGGAAAGGGGAACGGCGCTAGGAAGTGTCGTGAGAGGAGGAGGAGGCGTAGCCGTGCGCTGGGGCTGGGAGGAGGAGGCGGGGTGAAGACGGGCTCGCATCCGCTGATGGTCCCTGGCGGCCTCGTAAGCCTGTGGGGCCGATGTGAACTCGTACCGCCATAGCTCGGAGCGGTACTCGAGCGGGAGGCTGGCCAAGAAATGATCGATGAGGGCAGCCTCGGGAAGGAACGCCACGTCACAAACGAGGCGGGCGTCTTGAAAGACCTGGATGTGGCGATCCAGGCCGGCAGCGCCACCAGAGCCGGACCAGCGTGTAGTGACGACACGCTCGAAGGCGTCAGTCATGTCATATCGGGTTCCGAAGCGATCCTCGAGGAACGCCTGGAAATCCATGAAGGTCGGAGCTCAACCCTCACGTAGGGAGTAAGCATAGAAATCCTCCCAGGCGTCGAAAGGAGCACCACGTAGGCGCCTGGAGAGGTGACCCACCCATGTGTCGGGTGTGACGCCTATGAGCTGGAGCGTGCGGGTGGCAGCCTGCAGCCACCTAGACACGCATATGCCTGTACCATCATACAAGGGAATGTCCGACAAGCGGATGAGTGGTTTGCCACCGTTTTGGCGGCGAGGGGAACGGGAAGCAGGGGACTACGCTACGGCGGAATAAGTCGGCGCAGGTCCTGGAGGAGGAGGAGGCGCAGCTGACTGTACGCCCGGTCCGCATGGTGGAGCGACGGGGGAAGCAGCGGCAGGCTGCACGAGAGCTGCGGTAGAAGAGGTCGCGGCAACCGAGGGGATGGGGAGGAGGTAGGATGGAGATTGGCAGGGTGCAGGGCGAGGGAAGCGAGCCTGCATGGAAGGAAGAATAGAGGAAGAAGGGGGTGCACCGGGAGGCGCGGCCACCTGTGAGGGTGGGGGTGGCTGAAGGCGTGAGAGGGCGAGGTCGGTCCGGAGCCGGGCGATCTCGTCCTCGAGACTTCGAACGTAGGTCAAGCGAGGTGTGGCAGGGGGAGACGCACGAGCGGCGGGAGGCATCCCACAAGGGGGAGAGCCAGATGGCGTTGCGGTCGTGCGAAGAGGGGGGAGAAGTGGGGCACCCAGAAAAGCTGAGACCATGGTAGCGGGTTGTGGTCCCGTGGCCGTCGTGACCGGAATCTGGGCGGGTGCGCCCGTGCACTGAGGGAGGGCCTGACTCGTGGCGGTCGTCGTGCTAGGTGAGTGGACGGTCACCAAGATGGCCGGGTTGGGGGCAGCGGAGGAGGAAGCTCCACCGTGGCCACCCTGTCGGAAGGCGAGAGACCCGGGCTGGGAGCTAGGAGAAGAGATAGGGTGAGGAGAGGAAGGATGACCAGCGTCCTCGAGTTGCCGCACGCCGGCGGCAAGGGTCGCCACATGCGCATGTAAGGGCGCGAGGGTCGCGAGTTGCGCCTGGATGGGCGCCAGGAAGGAGGTGAGGAGGGTGTGCAGATCCCCCTGGGGCTGATGGCCCTGGTCCGCCGGCACGGGTGTGGAGCCCGATGCCGTGGTCATCGCCGTGTCGACGGCGTGTGACACACCGTCAGCTATGGGGAGATGACGGACCGGACTGGGGGCCAGAAGAGGTCCGCGTGAGCGGAGGGCGTAGGGGGAAGTCCGCGGTAGAAAGCGGCGAACGGCGCTAGCAAGGCTAGCGCGGGCACCGTCAAAGGGGGAGGGGTGGTTAGGGTCTAGGGTGCCCGAAGAGGACGGGGAAGTAGGGGGGGGGTTGAAGAACCCTAAACCCTACAAAACCCTAAGAAAACCCTAACCGACGTTTAAGTGGTTAGGGTAGGGTACCGGTGACCTAATCAAGAAAGTAAAAGAGCAAGCATTGGGGGGGGAAAGCGGGAGAAAAATAAATAAACAGCGAGATTTCGAGAGAAAATAAAAATAATTAAGGAAATAAATAAATAATAATTAAAGAAATAAGTAAAAGGATGGAAAAGAAAAAAAAACAATATTTATTTTTTTGAAATTTTCGGCAGCATTTCCCTACCCCCCACGGGGTCAAGAATGCGCCAAGGGAAAAAGAGAGACCAAGGTGAGCACACTAGAGATGCCGCAAATAATAAAAAGAAATTTTAGAAAATAAATAAAAGAAATAATAAATAAATAAACAAATAAATAAATAAGTTAATAAGTGTGTGAGGAGGTGGRGAGAAATGGGTTATCTGATTTTTCAAAAATTTTGGCAGCATTTCGTTACCCCCATGGGGTCGAAGTGTGCCGAAAAGACTAAGTAAAAGAAAATCAGAAAATTTCGGCAGCACTTCGTTGCCCCCACGGGGTCAAAACGTGTGCCGAAAGCAAGAAAGGCTAACACCTAATCAGATTGAGGGTTGCGGCCAAGAAATTCGAATTTTCAGAATAAATAAAAATAAATAAAATAAATCAGAAAATAAGAAAAGAGGGTGGGGAAGAGGATGAGAAAACTAACAACTAATCAGATTTAGGGTTGCCGTAGAGAAAATCGAATTTCCAGAATAAATAGAAAAATAAATGAAATGAATCAGAAAATCAGAAAAGAGGGTGGGAGAGACGAGATTTCGAATTTTTGAAAAAGAGAAAAGATAATAGCGGACACACATAGTCGAATCTACTGTGCTTCGGATGCCCTGTGAAAAGGCTAGGTAAAAAAAGGAGTGATGCGGGTTTGTGATATTTGGGATGACGATCAAAAGTATTGGAAGCGACCAGAACAGCTGAGGGAGGAGCTGCGTTACTGCCACAACACTGGCGCAGCACTAGAAGAAATTACAGAGGTCCTCCCACTAAAATGATTTCCCATCCTGCGAAGAGGGCGTGTACTAAGAGAAGGGGATTGGGTGGGGGAGTCAAGAGTGAATGGGTGGGTGGGCCTGGTACACCTACTTAGGCTCGACGATGCTCTGATTGAAAAATACAAGGTAGGGAGAAATGATCATCTTGCCGAAGGTATGGACCCTTTCGAGTGGTTTGAGAAAAGGCGACTACACAGAGTGAGAGTCTGACAGGATGGGGAGGAGCGACGGGCCTACCGCCCTGAGACTCCGATTGAGCGACTACCCCTGGACCCTGAGGAATGGGTTTGGAACCCCAATAGACCCCCTGCAACAGACGTGCACAAAAGCAAGAGGCTCTCTAAACTGTCGGTGAAAGCAACCTATCGAGTGCCCCGACCGAGACGAAATCTGAAGCATATAGTGGTCGGTAGGTGGCAAAGACATTTGAACATATATAGACAACTCCTGACCCCCATATGTTGGTTTCACATTGCAAAACCAAACCAGCCAAGATCACATCCCTCCAGTGGCAAATAACACACCGCTCCCCACCGACAAATAATTGGCCGATTGACCACTCACAGTTAGAGCAACAGGGTAGGGCCCTCCCGTGGTGTTCTCGCTGCACTAGGAATTTCCCAGCATGGAAAAGAGAGGAGACAATCAAACAGATTTTTCTTCAATGTCCAGCAGCGACACTTACATGGAGGTGGTGGGATAAGATTTGGAGACAAATGGTCCCCAGAGTTCCGTGTTCGTGGGACTGGAGAACCCTCTTACTAGGACACTGCCCGACAATTCAAGGAGACACCTTTGTTAGGAATATGTTCCACCTTGGCAGACGAGCGGTGCTCTGGACCCTATGGTGGCAGTGCTGCACCTCGGTCTTCGACTATGTGAGAGTGGAAGGATAAGAAAGGCGGGAATAGTTCAAGCAACACTTTCAATTCGAACTTTTACGACAGTGGGGGGAAACCAAAAGGGTTCTTGACTCTCTCCATAGAAAGAAAGACATTATGGAATGGATTGCAAGGTTTTCCAAAGATTGGTTAGGTGGGGAACAAGGGGATGGGTGGCAGAGGTGCGATGGTCAGAGGGTGAGCCAGAGGGGAGGGAACCTCATGAGGACAGGGTGGAAAGGGACTTCCCCCGGGACTACCGCCTCCTATTTAGAAATTGGATGAAGATTGGCCCAGAAAGTCCCATGAG